GGCCCAACTAACTAAAAAAAGAAAAGAAAAGACCCAAATCAATAAAATCAGAGATGAAAAAGGAAATGTAACAACAGACACCACAGAAATAAAAAGAATCATCAGAAATTACTACAAGGACTTGTATGCCAGCAAACAGGGAAACCTATCAGAAATGGATAGATTCCTGGACACATGCAACCTGCCTAAATTGAACCAGGAAGACATCAAAAACCTAAACAGACCCATAACTGAGACAGAAATTGAAACAGTAATAAAGGCCCTCCCAACAAAGAAAAGCCCAGGACCAGATGGATTCACTGCTGAATTCTACCAGACGTTTAAAGAAGAACTAACTCCAATTCTTCTCAAACTATTCAGAACAATCGAAGAAGAGGGAATCCTCCCAAATTCTTTCTATGAAGCCAGCATCACCTTAATTCCTAAGCCAGAGAAAGATGCAGCACTGAAAGAGAATTACAGACCAATATCCCTGATGAACATAGATGCAAAAATCCTCAATAAAATTCTCGCCAATAGAATGCAACAACACATCAGAAAGATCATCCACCCAGACCAAGTGGGATTTATCCCTGGTATGCAGGGATGGTTTAATGTGCGCAAGACAATCAATGTGATACACCACATTAACAGACTGCAGAAGAAAAACCATATGATTATCTCAATAGATGCCGAGAAAGCATTTGATAAAATACAACATCCGTTCATGATGAAAACTCTAAGCAAACTGGGTTTGGAAGGAACATTCCTCAATACAATCAAAGCAATCTATGAAAACCCACAGCCAACATCCTATTGAATGGGGAAAAGTTGGAAGCATTTCCACTGAGATCTGGTACCAGACAGGGATGCCCACTCTCACCACTGCTATTCAATATAGTTCTGGAGGTTCTAGCCAGAGCTATCAGGCAAGAAAAAAAAATTAAAGGGATACAAATTGGGAAGGAAGAACTCAAACTATCCCTCTTTGCAGATGACATGATTCTGTATTTAGGGGAACCAAAGAACTCTACTAAGAGACTATTGGAACTCATAGAAGAGTTTGGCAAAGTAGCAGGGTATAAATCAATGCACAAAAATCAACAGCCTTTGTATACACAGACAATGCCATGGCTGAGGAAGAACTTCTAAGATCAATCCCATTCACAATAGCTACAAAAACAATCAAATACCTTGGAATAAACTTAACCAAGGACGTTAAAGATCTCTATGATGAGAATTACAAAACCTTAAAGAAAGAAATAGAAGAGGATACCAAGAAATGGAAAAATCTTCCATGCTCATGGATTGGAAGAATCAATATCATCAAAATGTCCATTCTCCCAAAAGCAATTTATAGATTCAATGCAATACCAATCAAGATACCGAAGACCTTCTTCTCAGATCTGGAAAAAATGGTGCTGAAATTTATATGGAGGCACAAGAGACCTCGAATAGCTAAAGCAATCTTGTACAACAAAAACAAAGCCGGAGGCATCACAATACCAGATTTCAGGACATACTACAGGGCAGTTGTAATCAAAACAGCATGGTACTGGTACAGAAACAGATGGATAGACCAATGGAACAGAATTGAAACACCAGAAATTAACCCAAACATCTACAGCCAACTTAGATTTGATCAAGGATCTAAAACCAATTCCTGGAGCAAGGACAGTCTATTCAATAAATGGTGCTGGGAAAACTGGATTTCCACGTGCAGAATCATGAAGCAAGACCCCTACCTTACACCTTACACAAAAATCCACTCAACATGGATAAAAGACCTAAATCTACGACCTGACACCATCAAGTTACTAGAGAACATTGGAGAAACCCTTCAAGATATTGGCACAGGCAAAAAATTTCTGGAAAAGACCCGGGAGGCATAGGCAGTCAAAGCCAAAATCAACTATTGGGATTGCATCAAATTGAGAAGTTTCTGTACTGCAAAAGAAACAGTCAGGAGAGTGAAGAGACAACCGACAGAATGGGAAAAAATATTTGCAAACTATGCAACAACAGATAAAGGGTTAATAACCAGAATCTAGATAGAGATCAATAAACTCCACAAAAACAAAACCAACAACCCACTTAAGAGATGGGCCAAGGACCTCAATAGACATTTTTCAAAAGAGGAAATCCAAATGGCCAACAGGCACATGAAAAAATGTTCAAGGTCATTAGCAATCAGGGAAATGCAAATCAAAAGCACAATGAGGTTTCACCTCACCCCGGTTAGAATGGCTCACATGCAGAAATCTACCAACAACAGATGCTGGCGAGGATGTGGGGAAAAAGGGACACTAACCCACTGTTGGTGGGAATGCAAACTGGTCAAGCCACTATGGAAGTCAGTCTGGAGATTCCTCAGAAACCTGAAGATAACCCTACCGTTCGACCCAGCCATCCCACTCCTTGGAATTTACCCAAAGGAATTTAAATTGGCAAACAAAAAAGCGGTCTGCACCCTAATGTTTATTGCAGCTCAATTCACAATAGCCAAGACCTGGAACCAACCTAAATGCCCATCAACGATAGACTGGATAAAGAAATTATGGGATATGTACTCTTTAGAATACTATACCGCAGTAAGAAACAACGAAATCCAATCATTTGTAACAAAATGGAGGAATCTGGAACACATCATGCTGAGTGAAATAAGCCAGTCCCAAAGGGACAAATACCATACGTTCTCCTTGATCGGTGACAACTGACCTGAACACCAAAAAGGAAACCTGTTGAAGTGAGGTGGACACTATGGGAAACGGTGGCTTGATCAGCATAGCCCTGACTGTTAATGAACAACTTAATACATTATCCCTCTTAGTAGTTTTTTTATCTGTTCTACTTAATATGACTGGTTTAGTTCTGTAATTGATGCACAGTTATTCTTAAGTGTTGAAAATTAACTGAAATGTGATCCCTGTTGAACATGGGAGTGGGAATAAGAGAGGGAAGAGATGTATAATTTGGGACATGCTCAGGCTGACTTGCCCCAAGTGGTGGAGTTGGAAGCATACCAGGGGATTCCAATTCAATCCCATCGAGGTGGCATGTACCAATGCCATCTCACTGTTCCAGGTGATCAATTTCAGTTCACAGTTGGTCATGGTGGAGGGACTGGGAGTCAAAGGGAACACATAGACAAGTCTAGTACCTGCTAACGCTAACCGATGGAGTAAATAAAGGGGAGAGTGATCCAACATGGGAAGTGAGATACTCAGCAGACTCATAGAATGGCAGATGTCCTAAATAGCACTCTGTCCTCAGAATCAGCCCTAAAGGCATTCGGATCTGGCTGAAAAGCCCATGAGAGTATTTCAGGCATGGAAAGCCAAGACACTCTGGCAAAAGATCTCTGTGAGTGAGATCCCAGTGGAAAGAACAGGCCATCAAAGAAGGAGGTACCTTTCTCTGAAGGGAGGAGAGAACCTCCACTTTGACTATGACCTTGTCTAAACAAGAGAAGAGTCGGAGAACTCAGAGGGCTTCCATAGCCTTGGAAACTCATGACTGGTGCATAGGGAGATTACTGATGCCATAGACAGGAGTGTCAATTGGTAAAGTCAACAACAGGAGTCACTGTGCACTTACTCCTCATGTAGGATCTCTATCCTTAATGTGCTGTACATTGAGATTTAATGCTATAACGAGTACTCAAACAATATATTTCACTTTGTGTTTCTATGGGGTGCAAACTGTTGAAATCCTTACTTAATGCATACTAAACTGATCCTCTGTAAAAAAAAAAAAAAAAGAAATTATCAACTCCCAACTTGACTCTCACTGGGATTAAACATGACAATAGGTCTGCTCTGATTTCATCATCATTTAAAAAAAATCATCTATTATTTTTCACTTTATGTTTCTGTGTGGGAGCAAACTGTTGAAATCCATACTTAATGTATACTAAGCTGATCTTCTGTATATTAAGATAATCGAAAATGAATCTTGATGTGAATGGAAGGGGAGAGGGAGTGGGAAAGGGGAGGGTTGTGGGTGGGAGGGACGGTATGGGGGGGAAGCCATTGTAATCCATAAGTCGTACTTTGGAAATTTATATTCATTAAAGAAAAGTTAAAAAAAAACAAAAACAAAACAAAAGAAATAACTTCTGGGCTGGCACCGTGGCTCAATAAGCTAATCCTCAGCCTGCGGCACCTGCACACCGGGTTCTAGTTCCGGTCGGGGTGCCAGATTCTGTCCCAGTTGCCCCTCTTCCAGGCCAGCTCTCTGCTGTGGCCAGGGAGTGCAGTGGAGGATGGCCCAAGTGCTTGGGCCCTGCACCCGCATGGGAGACCAGGATAAGCACCTGGCTCCTGCCTTTGGATCAGCACAATGTGCCTGCTGCAATGCGCTGGCTACGGCGACCATTGGAGGGTGAACCAATGGCAAAAGGAAGACCTTTCTCTCTGTCTCTCTCTCTGTCCACTCTCAAAAAAAAAAAAAAAAAAAAAACTTCTGAACCAATGACACAAAAAAGAATAGAAGAATCACCCATGTTTATGAATTGGAAGAATTAATATTATTAAATGTTCATATTATTCAAAGTGATTTACAGATTCAGTGCAGTCTTCAACAAAATACTATGAGATTCTTCACAAAAACTAGAAAAAATCCCCACATGTCTATGACATTATAAGAACTCTTGAATAGCCAAAGTAATCTTGAACAAAAATACCAAAGCCAGAGGCATCACATTAACTGCTTTCTCATTTTCTCTACATTGTCTCAACTATCTCTGGGTAAGCCTTTTATAAAGTACAAAGCAGTCAAGAACTAGAAAAATGCATTATTATTCCTTCTCTATTTAGAGAATTTTCTAGATTTGTTATAGAGACCATCATTAGTTTTTTTCTTAAAAATTTCTGGAGAACTCAGCAGGTGGAAAGGGGGACACATGGAAACACGTCTTTAACTGCTGTTCTTACCACAAATAGACACAGGTAGGATGGGGAATGGACCTTGTAGACACTGAAGAAGATGAGGAAACACAAGGGAGGATTTATGGGACTTACCACTACTGGATCCAGTATATTGTACTAAAAATAGAAACAAATTATTGTGGTTGAATATAAAAACACATATGATGCTTTTCAAAGTAAAGTTGTGAAAATTATTTACACAAAAATTACTAAACCTGAATATTCAAGATTAACTTTTTTAATTGTATTGTTTCTATATTATAGCCTCTCCATAAGAACCAGATCTTCCTCTAGGAGATTGCATCCATGTTTTAGTTGGAAGGATAACTACCTCATTATTGCTTTTCATTACAGGTGAAGTTCTTGATTTTACTCCTTTACTCATCTTAGTCAATGCTTTTTCCTTCATAGCACTCATATTTATCTCCTTCAGCCATCCCTATTTTTTCTTCTTGCTCATTTCTTAAATCCTTCTGATTCTTTCTGTGACATTCTTGCTTTGAATCATTAATATTTTAAAAAGTTAAACTGCCTAGTATGCACTTTAGAGCAGTGGAATTTCTGTTTTCTAAAATATGATTGATTGTTCAGAGTTTGAGAAATGTGACTGTATCTTTAACCCTGAAACAAATCAGTTCGAGCCAAAGTCGTTAATACATAATACGAAGCCACTAGAGATGAGTAGATACTGGCAACTTACCAATAGGTCCTGGAGTTTGCACTATAAAGGAATTCAAATTGGCATGTTAGTAGGGCTTTCATCTGAAGAATATATTGCATATTATGTTTATTCTAAGGGTAGGCCTTTGGGAAGTAGACTAGGGCAGAAGTGATACCAGGTTTGAGATTATTATGGAGAACTAACCCAGCTGTGTTAAGTATGGCATAAAATACATATTTTATACCATAAAAGAAATACTTCAGCCTGAAGTGAGGATTATTGTATGATCCATGTCAACTGAAGCAATATTAAAGTGAAAACTTTGTACTTTCCCTTCCTGTCAGTAAAAATAGAAGATCATGCTTTCTCAGGGATAATACTTGCACTAAAATCTTTCTGTTCCAGAGGTAGGCTTTAGTATAGGCGGTAAGGACTCAGCCCCTCTTTATCACCGCTTCTAACTTATTGGGTGACTGCTGTTTTGATTAGCTTTATAATCTGTCAGCAGAGGATTAACAAAACCCTGTTTTTAATGAGGTCTGACTGTTAGGTTGATTTTCCAGCTGTGATCCCCTGGCAATCTGATAAAGATTGAAAGCCAACTATATTACTTGGCAGCATTGTTTATGTAAGAATGGGCTTTGATTTGTAGATTGCATCTGAACTGGGAGACCTATAAATACCTATTAAGAAGATATTCCTGGGGCCAGCATTGTGGTGCAGCAGGATATAGGACTCATTCATTCTATCAAATGAATATAGAGAAACTACAAATCATGCTTTTTGATTTTATAATTTATTACATTTTATTTTTGTTAATTATAATCCATTTTGTGAATTAAACTGTAATCATTTATATAAATACACATTCCAGTTTGCAAACATGTAGTTGTGAACAGTTATACCTTGGAACATAACCATTATTTACAATGTTTTTCTGAAAAAATGTATTAGAGAAAATTGCTAAAAGTTGGTGAAAATGGAACCTAATTGTCTTGTAAGGAACTTTTCAGAACAAGAAGACATGACAAGAAACTTAAAATTTACATTATTTTATAAAATTAAAATAATCTAAATAATCTAATAATTAAAATGTTATTTGCATGAAAAGCAAGAAGTTGAATGCTGTTTTTAAAATTTTTATTATACATTGGCTCTGAAGAGCTAAGTAGCTCAGGCAGGATCATTCCTGAAAGTTATTTTTTCACTTTGTATTTCAGCTTCACAATTTTTATGGCAGAACCTGGGTGAGTCCAATTTTTTCACTTTGTATTTCAGCTTCACAATTTTTATGGCAGAACCTGGGTGAGTCCAACCTAGAGGAGTTGTGGGTGGGATAATAACACGATGGAAGCGCTGGATCCTTGAGTCTGTGGGCATAAATCGTTGAGGTGAAAAAAGTTGATGTTCTAAGTACTAAAAACAAAGTGGCAATTTGAAATTTAGATGACTTACCAATGGTTTTTTGAGTTAACTCTGGGAAAAGAAAATAAAAGAGAAAAGAGGTAAGTAAAATCAGTAGGTGCTTCAGGCTCTGGAGACCAACATTCTTATTTATGTGGTTTTCCTTGTAAGAATCTGTACCAGTAAAGTACAGATCAGCTGTAGCTGGGCAGCTGATTTTATTGGTGGGATGCTATGGCAAGCAAATACATAGACCCATCTAGTGGATCCACTGAGAGGATGAGTAGCAAAAGTTCAAGAATTCAGCACTTTTGTCCATTTAAACCCCTGTAGAGGATTAGAAAATCCTCATAAATTTAAATTTCATTCCTTTCTCTGATTACTTAACTTTTTCCCATGTCACTGTGCTTTTAAAAATCCTATGTGTAATTGGGAACCTTCTCCAAGGGCTTATCTCATAGTTTGTGTATTATCAGTGAAATGCATGTTCACAAACCATTTACTTACTGAAGTCCCTGGTAGAGGAAAACAAAAAGGCCAAGAAAATGAAACTCTAAACCCTTGAAATCCCACTGTGGAAGCCAGGGGAAGATCCTTAACACAATGTAGAAAAGTGTTCCACAATTGAGAATCGGCAAACTTACTGATTGGTCCTGTAGCTCCAGCTGAGAAGAAAGCAAGAGAGAACTCAGTATGCTTCGCCAATGTGAAGGAAATAGCCATTCCCCAACACTCACTTTAGAGGAAGTCTTAGAACCCTGAGAAGATCAAGGGTTGCTTGTCTAACAATCCTCAAGCAGGCTACCTGTTGCACAGTATAGGAGACATACAAAAATCAAGGCCTCCCTCCTTTTTAATGATGTTTGAAATCTTTCAGAGGATTGGGAAAGACTTATTCTCTATTAATTTGTAATGCTTCTATGTTACTTGCTGCATATTTTCTCATTTCCTTGGAGAGTAGTATACCTTTTTCCCTTGATGATTTGTCATTAAAACTGCCTCTTTAGTTTCTTTCTTTTTTTTTTTAATCAGACTGTGAAGTTTGTGGTTTCTTGATTTTATGCATTGCCTCTTTGAAAGCTATAAGGGAATGTTAAGGGAGTTAAGAAAGTTGGTTTCAAGAAATCAGGGAAGATTAGGCCCTAAAACCTCATAGGACAAATGTTAAAATTTTCACAAAGAAGAAACAAATATGATGCTTACGGACAGGTGCTGTGAATTGCACTGAAATACAGAAAATAGGGAAAATTAGTGTAGTATGACATTAACAGGTTTCCTGTCACAAATATTCTCTCTATGAAGCAACTCAGCCCAGAGAATAACTGAAACAGGACTGGATATAATTTTAGCATGGAAGTCCCATAATCTTCCTATATATAAAATCATGCAGTATCCATCTTAAAGGAGGAATATAAATAATTTTTAAAACTAGAATAAGGTGCTGGCGCTGTGATGCAGTAGGCTAAACCTCTTCCTATAGCGCCAGCACCCTAAATGGGTGCTGGTTTGTATCCTGGCTGCTACTCCTCTGATTCAGCTCTCTGCTATGGCCTGGGAATACAGTGGAAGATGGCCAAAGTTCTTGGGCCCCTTAACTCATTTGACAGACCTGGAAGAAGCTCCTGCCTCCTGGCTTCAGATCAGCTCAGCTCTGGCTGTTGCAGCTATTTGGAGAGTTAACCAGAGGATGGAAGACCTTTCTCTATCTCCCCTTCTCTCTGTCTGTAACTCTACCTCTAAAATAAACAAATAAATCTTAAAAAAATAATAAAATAATTTAAAGTATGAATTATTTGGCCTTCCTTTGTCTTAAACTCAGTGACATCTCAGGGCATTTTGTCTAATGTCTTGGGCATTTCAAGTTGTCAAGAGATTTAAATTCAGTCAAGAAGCATGAGTGGGAAATCCTTCAGTGTAGAAATGGAAGCAGACAGAGTGTAGAAAGGGCCTCCAATGCCACAGAAGGCCCAGGAACATTAGAATTAGGGAGTAGAAGAGGAACTCACTTATAGGTCCAATAATTCCACCTAAAATACAAGAAAACAAAACAGAATTAGAATGGTTCTTTGGTACAGGTAAATATAGTTCGTTTTTTTTTTTTTTTTTTTTCGGGAGAAACATCAGAAATCAGCAGGAACATTTCTACTTTACTAGAACAAATATTATAAATGTTTCATTCCTCACCTTGGGGGACCCCAGTTACTGTTTGGATCTTATACCTGGAACTGCTGGTATGCAGTGATCAAGTTTCCTTCCCTGGTGGATGGGGAAGAAACCTTATCAGTCTGTTAGGTAGAAAGTCAGTTATGAGTTTATGTGTGTGTAACATAAAGGCCTAAAGAGAAGACATCTATGTCCATCATATGCATCTGCATCTCAAAGTCAGCCTGACAATGTTTCAGGGGCAGCCCAGCCTTCGCATCCTGCCCTGCCCCCTTCTACCTGATAACCTGCCAGGTGGAGGTCTCCGCCCCTTCTGCCTGACAGATCTTCCACAATCTCCCAGGTGCAGCCCAGTATCTGCATTTCGAACACCCTGCTCCGGATCCCCATTCTCTAGAGGGTCCTGCTCACCCTTCCTCTGAACCCAGGATGGCACCAGCTAGGCTTCCTCCTGTCTGATACCTTCAAGGCAAAACTCAGATAGGAGCTTCTTAATATTTAAAGTCATAAAATCCTTTGTTTCAGGAGGAGATGTGTGAAGACAAAGACCCATCTCCTTAAAAACCCCCGGCCTCAACCGGACTGCGCGCTCAGCCCTCTGCCTCTCTGTTGAGCCACCTGCCTGGTCTGGCCAGGTGTAATCTTTCCACTCAACCATGTAACCTCCACCCGTCCCTCCCCGCCCAGTCTCTCAGGCTCTGTCTGTACAGGTGCCCATCCATCCTTATGGATGTCCCTTCCCTAACAAACCTTGCTATTTTACCTCCTAGTACTCTCTGTCTCACACCTGAATTCTTTCTTGCACGAAGACAAGAACCCTCCAATTTCTCCGGTAACAAGTCAATTACAGTGTTTCTTCTACCTGGGCTAATTTGAAATTGTTGGCTAGAAGCTATAGACCCATCTTCTAAAGGGGGCAGTGGAAATTCCTGTCTTTGTGGTGATTTTGGCACTTATTCAACAGAGTAACTTGGCTTGGAATATCTTATTATATGAGGTTATAGAAACTACTACTTAAATTTTCAAGACTTTCATTGGTAAGGTTAGTGGGTTAAGGGATGAGACGTTAGAATCACATGCCTGGAAATAATAGTCTTCTCTTTTACACACATGCTTGTGCACACACTCACACACACAATGTCACCTCTATACACTTGGTGAACTCCATTATTTGTGATGTCTTGTCAGTATTTGCTTTTGAAGTTTGAATTCTGATTATTTTGATCCTGTTTCATGTGTATAAGTACTCGTAGAAGAGTAGACACAGGTGTGGTATATGATTTCCAACCTGCAAATCATTCTGTTTATTCTTCCCTTTAGGGCTAGCCCTGTTCCAGGGGCTCATGCTCTGAGTATCCTCAGAAGTGATGGATAGAAATGCATTAAGAAATGAATTAAGCCCTGGTAAGTTTCATCATTCTTGTTACTGATTTTTTTTAATTTATTTTATTTATTTAATTAATTTATTTATTTGACAGGCAGAGTGGACAGTGAGAGAGAGATACAGAGAGAAAGGTCTTCCTTTTGCCATTGGTTCACCCTCCAATGGCCTCCACGGCTGGCACGCTGTGGCCGGCACATCACGCTGATCAGAAGCCAGGAGCCAGGAGCCAGGTGCTTCTCCTGGTCTCCCATGTGGGTGCAGGGCCCAAGGACTTGGGCCATTCTCCACTGCACTCTTGGGCCACAGCAGAGAGCTGGCCTGTAAGAGGGGCAACTGGGACAGAATCCAGCGCCCCGACCAGTACTAGAATCCAATGTGCCGGCGCCGCAGGTGGAGGATTAGCCTATTGAGCCATGGCGCCAGCTCTTCTTACTGATTTTAATGTTACTTTTGCATGGAGGATGAAAAGGAATTTTGCATAGCAATAAAAAGATTGGTTAACTTGAACCAGGCTCACTCAGTTGTTTTTTTTTTTTTTTTTTTTTTTTTTTTTTTTTTTACTTTCTTTGTAAATGCAGAGGATTAAAATCTCTGCACTTTGTTATAAAGCTCTAAGGCACACACAAATCACCTGGGGATCTTGATAGAGTGCAGAGTTAAATTTAGTAGGTCAGTGATAAGAGTTAGGCTGAGATCTTGCATCTCACACATTCTAAGGATATGCTAATGCAGGCCATTGGACTCTAAGAGACTAGGCCATACAGGGCTAGTGAAGTATCACATGGCTTGTGCATCACTGTCCCCATTTATATTTTCTTCTTTCTCAACCAACTGCATCTCCCTTACCCCTCACTTTCTATTTCCTCCTAGTGCTTCTGCCTGATATATTTAGTATTATTACCTCAAATTTATCTGGATGAACACTTCTTCCCGATTTATACTTTTTCATAACAGGGCATATAGATCCCATATAACCATCAGTGATAACTTGGAGACCCTCACTCAGTGAGCTGGGACTCAGCTCAGCTCACTGTGTGTCACTGATACTCTGTGGGTCTTGAGTAGTGATTACTATTGAGCTTCTTCCTCTGAGTGTTACTGGTTTTTCAAGCAGCTGAACCTTCTGACCTTTCTCTCAACAACTCTTGTTTTTAACACTTTTCTCTTTACTGCTGATTCTCAAGATTCTGGAAAAATTATAAGTGATGGTACTTTCTTACAGAGGTACCCCAGTTCATTAATGTAAGAATAGAGAATGTATATCTATTAAAACATCATATTCAGCCGGCGCCGTGGCTCAATAGGCTAATCCTCCACCTTGCGGCGCCGGCACACCGGGTTCTAGTCCCGGTTGGGGCGCCGGATTCTGTCCCGGTTGCCCCTCTTCCAGGCCAGCTCTCTGCTATGGCCAGGGAGTGCAGTGGAGGATGGCCCAGGTGCTTGGGCCCTGCACCCCATGGGAGACCAGGAAAAAGCACCTGGCTCCTGGCTCCTGCCAGGATCAGCGCGGTGCGCCGGCTGCAGCGGCGGCCATTGGAGGGTGAACCAACGGCAAAGGAAGACCTTTCTCTCTCTGTCTCTCTCTCTCACTGTCCACTCTGCCTGTCAAAAAAAAAAAAAAAAAAAAAAAAATCATATTCTACATCCACACCCACAGTATGTGCCACTATCATGCGTTTATGAAAAAACTTGAAAATATTTAAGGAAGTTGAAAAGCTAACAAACCCCATTTGTTCATTACACATTGAATGCATATAGTATCACATGGAACCCATAAAAATGTACAGTAAAAAAGGTGTGGAGAATGATGTAGGGGAAAAATTTACCATTTGTACAGATGGAAATACAAACATCTAGGAATATAAGTGTCTTACATACTCTTACAGTGTAACAAAGCAAAGCACATGGAATTAAAATATAGTGGAAAAAACTTACTGATGGGTCCCACAGCACCAGCTAAAATACAAAGACAAAAGTAAGAACTGAGAGAGCATAATTCAAGGATGTTCATTTTTAGGTAATTTCAGAAAAAGTATTTACTGCATATTATATTTTCATGGAAAGGCAAAAAAAAGTTAAGTCTGTATTCTTATTTTTGCTTAAGAGACTGATAAGGTCGTATGCCTTTCAGTGTTTTTCTGTTTCTCAAGTTTTGCTACCTTCATTCTATCAAATCCTTCTACAAGTTTAGTTCTGATAAATCACTCCATTGATCCCCAGGACTTTTCTTATACCTTTAAGTTAATTCAGTTCTTATTAGCAGAGTTTCCACTTTGTTAAATAAAAAAATGAGTTACTTTAGAGGATCTGGAAACCTATTTTAATACATTACACTGATAAAGGGAGAACATTAAAGCAGCCAGTTGTTCTCCTTTCCTTAATTCATTTTCATTTCCTCTTCATCACCTTCCCCAATACTCTAATAGTGGCCACTGTGTAGAAAAGTCGAAGAGAAGAACTGAGTTGTAAATATGGGAAACTTACACAGAGGTTCTTGAGCTGCTCTTATACACTTTGTATGACCTATAATAAAAAATTGGCAGTTATCATCTTATGATTTAGACTTTGAGAAGCCAGGAAATGTACATAATCCTATTCCCTCCTCCCAGCTGTGAGGTGCAAATAACTTCCTGTTTGCTCTTCTGAAATTATATAACTTTGGGCAAGTCACTAAATCTTCTGAACAGGAATTTCCTCATTTTTATCATGGAAATTGTATCATTTGTCACACTATACGGTACAGTAAAAAATCAGCAGTAATAACAGATGGAAAAGTTGAAAAATTCTGTTAGAAATGTTATATGGAGAAATATTCAGTGATTATAATTAAAAACTTTATGAAAGTATTCATTTTTTAACTTTCAGAGTGGAGAGGCAAATAAAAACCAAAATTAAAAGACTTAGTCAAAAATAAACTACATCTGCAGGTGACATTGGGGCAACAATGACTAATTTGGTAGCTCTATGTACTTTGAGAGAGGAAGGATTCTAAGTGGATACCATATATACTTTAAAGTACAACAGTGCCATGTGAGATCAGCATCATATGGACTGTGGCCTGAGTTAGACACATTTGGTTGGATCACATCTAATTAAAAACAATAATTTGGCCAGTCTTAAAAGGACAAATATCATGTTTTCTCTGATATGTGGCAGTTAATATAGAATACAAAAATGTATAGGAATGAAATGGACATTTTGTAATATAATTATTGATTTTATCCCTTGTTTATATTCCTGTGGAACTGTGTTCTTACTACCTTTTGCTTGTTGAATATTATGGTTAGTGGTGAATTGAGACTGTAAACATAGAGTGGATTAAAATTATGTCTTTACAACAACTGATGAAAGGAAGAGAGTGGAGAGAGGGAGGGGGATTGGGAGGAGAGGAGTAGGAGGGAAGTATGGTTGTCTTCTTGGAACTGTACTTATGGACTGCATGAAATCTGTTCTTTTTATATTAATAAAAATAAAATACTATGATTAATAAACTTATTCAACACTTTGAAGTTATGATACATTTGAGAGAGAATTATGATCTAATTTGTTCCATCTTTAACAAGAAACAGTTTTATTAGAAGGAAATATGACCATAGTTTGTAACCAAAAATGTAATATTCAATATGAAAAAATTTCCCAAAAGCAGTAGCTCTAGGAAAAAAAGGACTGTCCAACCAAGATTATCTGTTTCTGGTTTATCCCTGATTTCCTCATTTTACTGTACTATCTTTAGATCTTTCCTTCATTTAGAAAATGTATTGTTTGTTTGACAGTCAGTTGAAATCAATTCCAGGAGATTTATTTGAACTTTACAATCCTAGTTTTTTCTCCTTTTCCATTAGTTTCTTCCAGTTTCCTCATTTCTTTGTTCTTCTATCTTTTTTATTAGTTTTCAACTGGCTGATGAGATTATCCATAGTTATGTAACCACTTAAAAATTCATGAAATATTGAGTAACTAGCATATGTTTAAATAACTTTAAGTACAGAGTGGCATCCTGGCTTTAGAGCTTGCATGCTTTACTGCTAGGAAATGGTTATCTGTATTTTTAAAATACTTTAATCAGCAACTGAATTTATTTTAAAAGTGCTAGGAGGCCTTATTCCTTCTTATACTACCCTTAGTTCATGGAAGAATAGTGTGTAGTTCAGCTAAGAGGTGAGCAATAACTTTTTTTCCAAGCCCATAGCTTGGAAGAACTAGTACAGATAGGATCCTTTTGGGATGAAGAGAATCAGACCTGTTCCATACCTTAAGGAAAACAAGTTAAAGGATGGAAAAAATGTAAAGATAGAAAAGAGAGATGCTATGACTGCTGAAGATGTAAGGTAGGGTGAGAATATGTAGCCAAAGGCGAGTAGAAGAATTTCCTTAAGCACGGAAGGGTGTCTAACAGACTTATAGAGGAAGAAAATGATAAAGTTGGGAAAAGTGTAGAAGATGACTAATGAAGAACAAGATAAGGGAGTCAGGAGCCTCAAGTTCTGTCACTTATACATAGCAAGAAACAGATATGACAGGCAGAGGTCTTCTGCCTTGGGTAGGAGCCCAACAATTCCATATTTTGAAACAAGAATAAAAACTTACTCACGGATCCTTGAGGTAAAGCTAAAGAACAATAACAGACATTCAAATCAGTCTATATTTGGTGGTTTAAATAATATATCCATTTTCTATATTTTTTCCAGAAATTGTGTATTCAGAATATATTAGATTCTCCATCCTCCAGTAGGCACATGACCTTTCCACATTTACAAATGAGATCATCTTCTTCCTCTTTGGACATTATCCAGGAGTGAAGGCTTCTACGAGTCCAGGTTTACTAGATATTCCCACTTCATTCATCACCTTTTCCTTTTCTCCTCTATTTCTCTCTCATTTCTTTCTTTATCTTTCCAGTTTGGAGAGTCTGCTCTCCATAATAGCTTCACAACCCAAAGAAAGGCAATATAAGAAAGACCTGAGAGAGAAAATGGCTGTGCCTGCATATGTAAAAAGGTATACAATTTTTGGCTCAAATCTTCCTGACTATAAATTCAGTGAACTTTGCTCCATACTCATCACATTTTCTCCTCTTTCTGGAATGTTTCACTAAAAAGTGATTTAATTTCAGTGGTACTAATTTCAATAGTAACAGCAATTGTACGAACTAACATAGTTGCAACTCCCCACTATTTTCAGTGGAGAAAGTTTGAGCATTTGTGTTACTTACATTGGCTCCTAAATGGCTACATGAAGTTCATTCATTCTCATCCTCCATTGGGATTATCTTTAATGTCCAAAAGGGATAGAATTTAATAATTTTAGCTCAAGTTTTAATGACACAATGAGTATAAATTAAAAACTGATGCCTGTGTTCTTGGTTCTTTCAGCTTGAAGTCACAAAAAGTAGGATAAGGTTTGCTAAGAAGGCAAAAAACTGACATTCTAGAATTAAGGCCTGTGTAGAAAGAGGCAACCAGAGAAGACAAAGTCTCTACGCACCAAGGGTTCATGGTGGAGAAACAACTAGAAATTTCTTTAGTTTCCTTGTGACTGTGCTAACTGGGCACACTCACACACTCAAGATCCATTAAAGTCAGCTGCTTAAAAGCATCCAGGTTAATCCCCTTTTGCAGAGAAACATCAGAGAGAAGCCCTCGCACTCCTCCCCCCATGGGTCATCAAATCCTCTGTGCCAGCTGCAGTGTGGGTTGGTCATATATTACATAAGTATCTTATGCACATCCCTGAGACTCTCATGGGTCTGCCACCTTTTAATCAGTCAAATGTCAGTTGAAATATCTCCTCAGAGAGATTTCTTCTCATCTCTTATAAAAGAAAAGACTCCTAAAGACTAATCTAAGACTCCTATAGAGTCCCATGCCAAGGTCTTGCTCTATCACATTATCCTAATTTATCTTTTCCATAGAATTTATTTTGGACATTATTTTGTTGTTTGTTTACAGCTTTTTTTCTGTCTTACCTCACAAGAATCTATGCTGTTTATGAAGCAGGGACAATATCTTGTTCACACAACAAATAGAATAGTGTAAGCCTCAATATATTTGTTAGATAACTAGTTTTGCCAATATTTTCTTCCTTCCTTCTGACTTTTATATATTTTCTCCTGCTTGTTTTTTCCCTATCAGCTTGGAAACCTCATCTCTTTTTCTGATAAATGAAAACATGCATAATTATTGTAGCCAGAACTAGGAAGTATCAGAGTTTTAAGGAATTTATGAAATGACTATGCTTAATTTTTAAATTTTACATATGAAAAAACTAAACACATGTCTTGTCTAAGTACAAAATAAGTCAGAAGCAGACCTGGGACTATCTCTGTCATCTGTTTAGTAGTACAGTTAACTTTTTCTTCTGCTACAAAATTTCTTATCCTTATTATTTTTAATATCCCTCTAGTTTTCAGTTTATGTTTTTTGTTGTGATAAATAATATTTATCATCTAACTATTGTACAGTGTACAGTGGCATTATATACATTCACATTGTTGTTAAGTCTTATGGTATAAATGGGGGATAAATTTAATTTCCAGGTAAACCTTAAATTACTTGCTATTGGCTTAGCCATATCAGTTGCAATTCATTGAGCTATTTTCCTTCTAAATGAATTTTTTTTTTTTTGACAGGCAGAGTGGACAAAGAGAGAGACACAGAGAAAGAGGTCTTCCTTTTGTCCTTGGTTCACCCTCCAATGGTCGCCGTGGCCAGTGCGCTGCGGCCGGCGCACCGTGCTGATCCGAAGGCAGGAGCCAGGTGCTTATCCTGGTCTCCCATGGGGTGCAGGGCTCAAGCACTTGGCCCATCCTCCACTGCCTTCCCGGGCCACAGCAGAGAGCTGGCCTGGAAGAGGGGCAACCGGGACAGAATCCGGCGCCCCGACCAGGACTAGAACCCGGTGTGCCGGCGCCGCAAGGCGGAGGATTAACCTAGTGAGCTGCGGCGCCGGCTCCTAACCTGTCCCATTTGGGTCCCCTACAAATTTTACAAGAGAAAATGAAGATCTGAGTTTGTTGTCTAGTACATTGAAACCTACATATGTTTCATTTTGTTCTTACAGTACATTATCTTTTCTATGACTTAATTATAAGAAAATACGGCAAAGCTCAATAAAAATCTGTTTTAATTAAAAATAATAAAATATTGAGCATTGTAGTTTTAGGGGCACACTTTAAGATTAATATAGGGCCGGCGCCGCGACTCACTAGGCTAATCCTCCGCCTAGCGGCGCCGGCACACCGGGTTCTAGTCCCGGTTGGGGCGCCGGATTCTGTCCCGGTTGCCCCTCTTCCAGGCCAGCTCTCTGCTGTGGCCAGGGAGTGCAGTGGAGGATGGCCCAGGTGCTTGGGCCCTGCACCCCATGGGAGACCAGGAAAAGCACCTGGCTCCTGGCTTCGGATCAGCACAACGCGCCGGCCGTGGTGGCCATTGGAGGGTGAACCAATGGCAAAAAAAGACCTTTCTCTCTGTCTCTCTCTCTCTCACTGTCCACTCTGCCTGTCAAAAATAAAAAATAATAATAATAAAATATCGAGCATTGTAGTTTTAAGGGCACACTTTAAGATTAATATATTTGTGGCCAGCGCCACGGCTCAATAGGCTAATCCTCCACCTTGTGGTGCCGGCACACCACGTTCTAGTCCCTGTTGGGGCACCAGATTCTATCCCGGTTGCCCCTCTTCCAGTCCAGCTCTCTGCTGTGGCCTGGGAGTGCAGTGGAGGATGGCCCAAGTGCTTGGGCCCTGCACCTGCATGGGAGACTGGGAGAAGCACCTGGCTCCCAGCTTCGGATCAGCGCAGTGCGCTGCGGCAGTGGCCATTGGAGGGTGAAACTACGGTAAAGGAAGACCTTTCTCTCTCTGTCTCTCTCACTGTCCACTCTGCCTGTCAAAAATTAAAAAAAAGATTAACATATTTGTATATAATAAATATCCTGATTCATGAGATAAGCTTAGTTTTGGACTAACATAATAATTTTGAGACTTAGAGTCATTTATTTTAGGATTTTCAAATTGCCTTTTCAAAATTGAAGTAATGTGTTTTAAAATTCATACGATTTCCTAAATTCCTCGAAATGAAAACTTTTGTTTTAAAAAAATACTTTGAATTCACTGGAGGTAGTGAAAAACATAGGACTTGGAGTTGAAAACTAGCTCAGCTTGATCATATTTTTACTAATTATATCCCGTTGACCAGGTTAAACAAGGTCCTTGAACTTTAATTTTCTTATCTGCAGTATCCCTAAATATTAAGTCAAATAAACTTGTTGTTCTTTAATTATAACCCCTCCTTGTTCTTCACTCCTACTGCCACTCTTTTACACCTTTTCTTCTTCCCTCATATTTTTTTATGTTAAAGAAGCTATTATTGCCAGCTGAAACCATCTTAATCTTTTTTTTTTTCTTCTGTTCATCAGTGCGTTTCTCATTTTTCAAAGATCTTTATTTTCAGATAAATGCTCAGTGAATGAGGAGGGGAGGGAAGGCAAGGAGCAAGAGCTCAGCTTGGTGAGGAAATAGTCTCCAACTCTGTGACACATCAAAAAGAATTAGCCATTGGAAATAGGAGCTTAGCCCTTTGTTCTAAAAAAAAATACAAAGAAGTTTGTGTGGTTGTCTACACATTCCTTTTGGTTGGGGAGCTCCAAGGGGAACCAAAATCTGAGCATCAGCTGCAGTTGGAGGCAGTAAGAGACTAGCAGGCATAAAAGCTTTGAAATTCGCAGGAGAGACGTATCTCCATTTACTTCTCACACTGTAAGGATCATCTCTATTCTCATCTCATTTTTCTAACTCCTTGCTCTCATGCTTCTTTCCTTTGTTTTCTGAAGTGTGGAAATTGGTCTGTTTCTTGCCAATGTGCCATTATAATAAGACATTAGAAACTTTAAACTCACTTTCCATGCTTTTGGGTAATATTGAGGTATTTGGTTATATAGTACAAAGAAATTAGGGCAATCTGAAGCCCAAGATTATGCTGTGCTTCAGTGGAAGAAGTCCGGGCATTTTCAAAAATGTCAATACAACAAAATGAGTCTAAGTGCAAGCAGAATTGAAGACAACTGAAGGAACTTACCTACATTTGATTGTGACAGTGCTAAGACAAAACAAGACTAAAACATGAAGTGAATTCTGCATTCTAAAGGAGTAGATTCCATAGACTCTGTTACAATAAAATATTATGAGAAAGAGGGACAGAAATGAGTAACATTAGATTTTTTATTATTTATTACAATGCAATATGATGAGCATCTGGATATTGATATATTTATTGGTTTGGGGGCATAAATTTCAGACTTTTAAAATATTTTCTTTCTTAAAAATTATGTCTTTACAAAAATTAATGAAAATGGAGGAAGGGAAGTGGATTGGGGGAGGGAGGGAGGGAGGGAGTATGGTTATCTTCTGAGAACTGTACCTATGAAATGGATAAAATCTGTTCTCTTCATATTAATAAAAATTGTAAAAGTATTACTCTTGTGATAAATAGGGCTGAAAGATATGAAACCTGTCTTATCATTTCCTTAAGTAAGAGAATAACAATATTATGAGGGATTTCCATTTTCTCAGTGCCTGGAAAATTTTCTATCTCCATGTCTTTTCTCATTTCTGATTCTGCTACTTTTGTTTTTGCCTTCTTTTCTTTTCCTCTTCTTCCTCTTTCATTGATATCCTTTTTCACGTTTTCTTTCTTTAAAAAAATTATTGTTAAACCAAACTTTCACTTTATAACTGCTTAAGAGGTAGTTTAAACATTCCAAAAATCACTAGTATTTTATGAAGATGCTGAATACCAAGACGGCAAGACCATAAAGTTCTTGAATATTAGAGGATAAAGAGTCGAAGCAGAGAAAGGGAGCTTACTGTCAAGATAGATATTTCACTGTCTCCTCTTATCACTTGGAAATGTTGTACATAATATTAACTTTTTTTAGAATAGGGCTGACTTAGGGGGCTGAAATTGTGGCACAGCAGGTTAAGCCACTGCCAGCAATGCCGGCATCCCATATAGGAATGCTGGTTTGAGTTCTGCCTGCTCTGTTTCCCATCAATGCTAATGTGCCCAGGAAAGCAATAGAAAATGGCCCAAGTGCTTGGGCTTCTGCCACCTATGTGGGAGACCTGGGTGGAACTGAGGTGAGGTTCCTTGTTCTGGCTTAGCCCATTCATGGGTGTTGCAACCATCTGTTGCATGAGTCTATGGATGGAAGATCTCTCTCTGTTTCTGTCTTTCCTCTCTCTGTCACTCTGCCTTTCAAATAAATAAGATAAATCTTAAAAAAAGAGAAGAGAATCAAGTTTGAAAACTGGAAGGATAAAGCTTCAAGAATAATGTATCAAGAGGGAATTTTAATAATAAATGAGAAAATTTACTATCTCTTATTGAGAGCCGTCTTCCTCTCAACATTTTTGAAAAAGAGAGAAAAAAGGAAAAAATTCGCATCTGCTCCATTCACTCTCCAAATGCCCACAATGGTAGGGGCCAAGCTAGCACTGCAGCTTAGAGCCAGAAGTATAATCCAGGTCTCCCATATGAGTGGCAGAAATCCAATTATTTGAGGCATCACTTTTGCCTCCTAGCATCTGTACTGATGAGTGGGAAGTGGAAGTCAAACCCAGGCAATCTCATGTCAGACACAAGCATTTTTACTGCTAGGCAAACACTCTAAGAGGCTGGTTTGTTGTTGTTGTTGCTGTTTTAATACTTGATCATATGTAGAAATTCAGGCTACAGTCCTCATGCATTAAAAAAAAAAAAAACTTAGGGCTAGTCTTCCTTTGTAAATCTAAGGTTCATAAAAACCATATCCGTGAAAGAAGCACCATTATTCTCCACATGTTGATCAGAGTGTGCCAGGAAGTAACCTGTTTATATCAGGTTAGCATTGGAAATTGAGTCTTCAGTAATGGTGGAACCCTCAGTGAAGATAAATTCAGATATAGAGCTTATATTTAAATACCTCATGTAGGAAATAAAAAGTGTAGAAACTTATAAAAACTACTTATAAAATCTGTATAGTATAGAGAGACATGGCAGGAAATATAGTTATCTTCTTAGAATTTTACCTATGAAATACCTGACATCTATTCTCTTTATTTTACTAAAAATTAAAATGGAGGATGTGGAAAGAATAGTAGGTAAGATGGTAAATAATGAAGGATAACTATCTAATTTTGGAATATGATACTGATTTAGATTATTTAAAGAAAAATTAAACAATATGCATGTTAAAATGTAAAATGAATAAAACAAAATTCACCAAAAACAATCAAGAAAAAGAAAATGAATAAGATTGTGCAATAATCCATCACAATGCAGGTAAGTATTTCTAAAAGCTGAAAGAACAATGTATAGTAAACAGAAAATATAATATAAAGTAGTAAAATTAAGATAAAATTCATCAGCAATTAACAATACATGTAAAATATAATAAATTCATCTGTTATGAGTAAGAAATCTTTTACAGTATTAATGAAAACAAAATTTTAACGTTCCAAATGAAAGCAGGAAAAATACATAACAGGCAAATATCAATTAATGCAAAGGAGTTAGAGCACTATTAATATTAAATAATATAAAAATTAAGCCAGAAATTATTGTGAGGATAGTGATGGACGGTGTATCATTATGCCAGTATAAAGAAAAAAGAAAAAAAGATTAAACAGTTTTGAGCTTGTGTCTGTCTAATAGCAATGATAATATACAAAGGAAATTAGTATTAAATAGAAAAGTGAAATTAATAACTACATATTTAAAGTTTCTTCTTTAAAGTTAAAATTGTATATCATGAAAAAGCATTAATAACAGTAGAGAACATTTGAATGATAGTTCACAAATTTAAGATGATATGTATTATCTATGGCTAAAATCTGTACCCAGCCAATAAAAGTGTTCTTTTCAAATTTGCTTACTAGGTCTCAAAAGTCCTAACACATTTAAAAGAATCTATATCACACATATCACACATATGTATGATAATGTAACAACATTTGAAATAAGCAATAAACACACCAAAATAAAGCATTAAAGAATATTCTTTGTAATTTACTAAATCATGATGGAAATATGAAATAGTTAAACTGAAGTTCAAGAAATACACTGTCAATACTTGTGTGATGCGGCTTCAGCAGCATTTAGAAGCTACTTAAATTTGAAAATAAGAAAGTCTGAGAATTAAGAGTTTCATATAGCAGACTAGAAAAAAGAGCAAAAAGAAAGCCAAAGTAGAAAAAAATACTAAAACATGGAAATGAATGAAATCAGAGATAATGAACCATTAGATATTCAACAAAGCCAAATAGGGTTTTAAATAAATTAATAATAACAGTAATTATAATAATAATACTCTTTGGCATAATCATCACAGAAAGGAAGCATAAATCATTGATATTTTAAAAAATAAAGCCTATTTCTATATATGATAATTAATTTAAGTCATGAAATAATTTTTAACAATTAATAAAAATCAATTAAAATTTATTATTTGCTCACTCGTGAATAACTTGTTAGTAAACTAGAAGCAGATATCTATAGTGTTTATTGTGTATGCTCTTGTTAATCCTCTTCAAGTAGGGATATACAAAATTAATTTTTACCTTGTAAATTAATGTGTGTGGTCTACCACTGCAGACTTCATTTTCAACTTTATCCTAGCCTTTCCTAAAGTGAGTTATTAATTTGAAAACTGTTGACTTCTTTGAGACATTCTTGCCATAAAGTCTTTGTAAACCATCGGTGATTTCACCATTCTTCCACCCAAGCCTCACCATAAATTGAATGTTTGTTATTGCTTTAATTTAGCAGAATTTATGTTGCTCTTATAGAGACTCCTTCAAAACTAGTATCTTTTCTTAGTGCCTCAGACTGTATCCTAGTCAGACATAATATAACAAATTTATTACGAGTTTATTTTCATACAAAAATTTTGTAATTCATGCATAGGTTTTTCATAATATGCACTTTCTGCTAACATTTTGAAGCCCCCTCATATGAAATCAAATCAGATGACAGTTAAACAAAGAAATCCATAAAGGACTTACCCAGAGAGTTGTTTGATGGTGCTAAAAAAATGCACAGTAAAACATGGGGTGAATAATCAGAATTATGGATCCTTTAGTTTTTCATAACAGCTTCAATCATTGTTATCCCCTTCTCCAGAATTCAAATTCAGGCCTTGGTAATTATTGCTGAACTAGTGATGGTGACTAGAAACTATTCCCACCAGCTATCATTTATTCTTTCAATCTCCAGAGGATAATTTTCAGTAGATAGTGTAATATTCCTAAACACTTTATGCGCTTGTCATTTATCCCTGTCCTCATCTCTCTGCCTTCTTTCTTTCTCTTTTCTCTTCCCTTCTTTTATCTCAGTCATCAATTCTCTATATTTTTTCTTTCTTCCTGATAAATTTGAAATTTATCAACTGACAGACCTTACTAAACCAACACTATTAGATTCTCTGTTACTTAGTATTTATATGAATTGGTAAAGATTGTCTTTCCTCAAAGCAATAACAATCTAGAAAGGTGTTAATAATGGGAAATAAACTATTGACAAACTAAAGAATACTTACTGCAGTATCCTTTGGATCCTGAAAACAAAGAAAACTCACTTTGAGTTTTCTACTTCTATGGTTTTGGTATCATTACAGAGGATTACTCACTCAATACCCTCAAACACCCAAGCCAGCAAAAGACTGTAAGCAAAATCTCCTAATGTCTTAATTTGTGAATTGAATGGCCTAAGAAACCAGCCAAAGGCTAAATAATGTAAATAATTATATTGAAAAGAAATACACTGCATGGAGACATTTTAAAACAAAAGAATATATTAGTTAAAATATGTTGAGGCCTCAGAAGGAATAGAAAAGTACTTAGCTGATTGTAAATTCAAATCCAATGAAAATATGTCATTATAATAAATATATAGGCATGTATTTATTATAATTTAATGTGTATCTAATGGTCTAAACCTGGTTTCTTAGTGATTTCATGGAAATAACATTTCTAAGAGATCTGAAGACAAGACAAATTGCATTAAAATCTAGTCACAAAATTGTAAAACTGAATAGTAATTTTTGATAAACACTCTACAGTTTCACTAAATTATTTTTCATTTGACATCAGAGAAATCAGAAAAATAAGTAATTATTTGGCTTAATGCATTTTAAATTATAGTTCATTTAGATTGTACACTAAAGATCTATAACCAGGAATTAATAATTAAGATATTGCTAAATTGTATAAAATAATTTCTAATTTCTTGAAATTTGGAGTCACACAATTCTAAATTCATATCCAGGTTGAGTCACTTGTATCACAGTTGATCGTGGAAATTCATGCAGAAGATTCACTTCCATAAATTAGGAACACCAGTGTATAATAAATTGATTTATTTAAGAACTGCTTATTAAGAACATCCCTAACTGTGAGAAGACTAGACCATAAGAAGGCAGGAGGAGAAGTGGGGATGTTGGTGATGAGGCGGTAGGAGAAGTTCAGGTCAGAGATGGTTGTGATTGTGCTTGGACTGTCCACAGTGGTGGAAAATGGCCTAATTTCAAATATAATTTATAATACTGGTGATGGGATTTGCTGATGGATTAGATAAAGAGAGTAAGAGATAAAAGTTAAAGATGACTCCAGGCTAGATGAGTTGAGAAATTGGGTGAATAAAGGTGGCAGTATCTGTGTGTAGAATAATCAGGACTTGGTCTGTGGACATCTTAAGAGTGGCAAGCCTTCAGATAGCTTCAGGGCCAGTGTATTATGATTTTATAGTTGGTTCAGTACACAAAGGATTATAACTGAAACCATCAAGTGTCCCAGATACAGAGCTGCGTTCACCTGGAATGAGACTTAATAATATGTTCCTCTCTAGGCTAGTCAGGGCCTTGGGCAGTCAGGGCAGGATTTATGGGTAGTTCATCTTCATGGAGCTGACAATGTTGCTTGCAGATATAAGTTAAAATATAATGAAAAATGCCTACCAGAGTGACTAGCACATGGTCGGTACTAAGTATATGTTAATTTTCTTCCTTTGATATTTTGTATAGTTTTATTTTGCCTGTATATGACCACTTAAATTTCTCACATTGAGGTAACTTCTTACACTGGTCAAATATGTTCTAATTATTAACTGAGGAGGTTTGTTTCAGGTTCTTGGCTTTAGCCTGGCCCAGCCCCATTGTGGCCATCTGGGGAGTGAACCAGTGGATGGACGATCTCTTCATATGCAGAAGAGAAACTGGACCCATATCTTTTACCACATACAGAAATCAGTGCAAAATGAATCAAAGACTCAAAGGCAAAAACCTGAAACTGAAAAATTACTAGGAGAAACACTTCAAGACTTAAGTATAGGCATTTTTTGTAGATATGACCTCAAAAGGACAACTAGCAGAATTAGATAAACATGCCTAAATCAAACTAATATATTTCTGTACATTAAAGGAAATAGTCAACAAACTGAAGAGCTGATCTACAGAATGAGAGAAAGAATTTTCAAACTGAATACCTGACAAGAGATTAATATTCAGAATATGGAATTCAAAAAAGCTCACAGCAGTAACAATAATAACAAAAAATAAATTCCATTTAAAAATAAGGAGTAAACATGTGGTACAGTGAATTAAGCCACCACTTGGGATGCCTGCATCCCATATTGGAGTGCTGGTTCAGATCCCTGCTACTCTGCTTCTAATCCAGATTTCAGATAATGTATCCTGGTAGGCAGCAGATGATGGCTGCCACAATGTGGGAGAATGGGGTGGAGTTATTTGCATCTATCTTTGACTTGGACCAGCCCTGGCTTTTGCAGGCATTTGGGAAGTAAACCAGAAGATGGAAGATCTTTTTAACCTTCTTCCTCTTCTCTATCACTGTGCCTTTCAAGTAGATGAAAATCATTAATGAACAGTAGGAAAATTATCTGAACAGACCTTTCTCAAAAGAGGGTATACAAAAACCAGCAAGTACATGAAAGACTTTCAAAATATCCATTTTGATTTCTTCTTTGACCTATAGGTTGTTTTGGAGGTTGGTAGTTAATTTCCATATACTTCTGGATTTTCTGTTTTGGCTTTTAGTTTCATGCTATTATAGTCAGAAAAAGATACTTGGTGTGATTTTAATCATAAGCCTGTTAAAGCATGTTTTGTGATCTAGCATTTTATCTATCCTGGAGAATAATCTAGATCCTTTGGGTCAGAAAAGACAGATGCCATATGGTTTCCCTGGTCTGTGGTAACTAATAGAGCTCCTAAAATGTAATATATTGGAGTGAAATTGAGATTTTGAGATTCAATGATCGTTTACAGTCTTTGTCTTTGTTTGGACTGTTGAAGAACCACTTTTTTTTCTTCATACTATTTGTTGAACTGTTTACTGAGCATCAGGTTAATCTTATGAGTATAAAGTAAACTGAAAATATATTTTTCTTTTAAAAAATTAAAGTAAGAATAGGAGAGGGCAGAGGAAAAAGGATGGGGACATGGACAGGAGGTAAGGAAGGGTGGGAAGTATCGCTGTGTTCCTAAATCAGTATATATGAAATACATGAAATTTTTATAGCTTAAATAAAATAAAAAAACTGTAAAAATTCTGCTGCTATTTGGTGGAAGATGGAATGTTTCACTACTTATCTTTCTGTTAAGTCAATTTTGTATAAAATTTAGTTCTAGTTCAATCTTTCCTTTTTAATTTTATGTTTTACAGCACTCTGGCCTCATAATCAGCCCTTAAGGCATGCGGATCCGGCTGAAAAGCCCATGAGAGTATTTCAGGCATGGAAAGCCAAGGCACTCTGGTCTGGCAAAAAAAACCAAAAAAACAAAAAAACAAAAAAACAAAAAACCTAAATGAAAGATCTCTGCGAGTGAGATCCCAGTGGAAAGAAAGAATGGGTCATCAAAGAAGGAGGTACCTTTCTCTGAAGGGAGGAGAGAACTTCCACTTTGACCATGGCCTTGTCTAAATATGTTCAAAGTCAGTGAACTCAGGGGGCTTCCATAGCCTTGGCAGCTCATGACAAGAGCCTAGGGTGAGTACTGATGCCATAAACAACAGTGTCAATTTGTTAAGCCAACAACAGGAGTCACTGTGCACTTACTCCTCATGTAGGATCTCTGTCCTTAGTGTGCTGTACATTGAGATTTAATGCTATAACTAGTACTCAAACAGTATATTTCACTTTGTGTTTCTATGTGGGAGCAAACTGTTGAAATCTTTACTTAATGTATGCTAAACTGATCTTCTGTATATAGAGAGAATCGAAAATGAATCTTGATGTGAATGGAAGGGGAGAGGGAGTGGATAAGGGGAGGGTTGCGGGTTGGAGGGACGTTATGGGGGGGAAGCCATTGTAATCCATATTCTGTACTTTGGAAATTTATATTCATTAAATAAAGTTAAAAAAATTTTATGTTTTAAAAATGTTTTAAAAGATTTATTCATTTGAAAGGCAGAGTTACTGAGAGAGAAGGAGAGACAGATCTTCCATCTACTGCCTTCCCAGGCTCATTAGCAGGCAGCTGGATGGGAACTGGAGCATATGTGACTTGAACCAGCGTCCACATGGATGCTGGTGCCGCAGGCAATGGCTTTACCTTTTGTGCCACAGTGCTGGCCCCTTCATTTTAATTTCTGCATAGGTGATCTAAGCATTATTTTAAATGGCGCCTTGGTATTCTCTAATTTTAATGTTTTTTTCTGTTTCTCTTCTTAATTCTGTTAATATTTGATTTATATTTTTAAGTGCTCTGATGGTTATGTATGTATTTACAATCGTATTTACAATTGTCATGCCTTCTTGACAGAGTAACCCTTTATTAGTATATAGTAAACTTCTTTGGCTCTCGTTTTTGGTTTAACACCTATTTTGTTGATATAAGAAAACTATTGCTTCTCTCATTTTTCCCATTTGCCTGGAATATCTTTTTCTATCCCTATACTTTCCTTCTCTGTGTATCTTTAAAGCTGAAGTGAGTCTCTTGTAGATGGAATATGTTCAAGTCTTTTACACATTCTGCTATTCTATGTCTTTTTTTTTTTTCAAATTTGAGAAACAGAGACAGATACACAGATCTCAGTGATTGGGGCTGGGCCAGAGCCAGAAACACATGCTTCAGATTCACTTATGGCTTTCTATATGGGTAGCAGAAACCCAATTACTTGAACCATTATCAGTGTCTCCTAAGGCCTGCATTGGTGGAAAGCTGAAGTCAGAAGCTGGAGCAAGGAGCTGAGCAGGGGATGCAATCATATTATGCACTCTACTAAATTCCCTCCCCCTTCTATGTCTTATGAATGGATACTTTTATCCATTGACATTTGAAGTATTAAAAAATAAGAACTTACTATAATCATTTTGTTATTTTCTGGTTGTTTTATAAATCCTTTGTTCCTTTTTACTCGTCTTACTGTATTTATGATTTGATGATTTTCTGTAAGGGTATACTTTGACTTCTTTCTTTTTCTGTTTTGTGTACCTGCAATAGGTTTTACTTTGTGTTTACCATGAGGTTTACATGAAGCAATTGTGGTGTATACAAACGATGGAATACTACTCAGCCATAAAGAATGAAATCCTGTCTTTAAAACAAAATGGATGCAACTGGAGATCATTATGTTAGAGAAATAAGCCAGTGTGAGTCCTGGCTGTTCTCCTTCAGATCCATTTTCCTGATAATTCATCCCTGGGAGGCTGCAGATGTTGCCTCAGATATTTCGATCTGTACCACCCATATGGAACTCCCAAATAGATAAACAGAAAAATAAGGGTTTCTGAGGACACACATCATGTGTCCTGTCTGTAAACATCTACTTAGAAACACTAATAGCCCTTTCAGCATTCCTTTGTATGTAATATACTTTCTTTCTCCTGCTACTTCCATATTTTCTTTATGTCTTTTGTTTTTGATAATATGTCTTGCTGAAGTGTTCTTTGGTTTGAATCTGATATCTGATTGGAGAACTTTGGGTTTCATTTACCTGGATGTTAGTATCTCTCTCCAGATTTGGGAAATTTTTAGCCATTTTGTCATTAAATGTGACCCCCATGCTTCAATACTTAGTTCTCTGAGTCCTTTTAATCTTGTAATTTTTCTTTGTTCCTTTTCAGTTTTTTTTTTCTCTTCTGACTAGATATTTCTTATTTTTCTGGTTATCTTTATTGTCTTAAAGGGAAGAGTCGAGAGAGCACAAGCAAGAGAGACAGAGAGAATGAGAGAGTGAGTGAGAGCAAACTTCTTTAGTCTGGTTTACTGTCCAGTTGCTCATCGTAGCCAGGGCTGGGCCAGGCTGAAGCCGGGAACCTGAAAGGGAGTTCCACATGACTGGTACAGATCAAAATACTTGAGCTATCGTCTGCAGCCTCCTAAGGATGCATTATCAGGAAAATGGATCTGAAGGAGAGGAGCCAGGACTCACTGGCACTCTGATATGGGATGTAGGAATAACCAGCAGTAGTTGAACCCACTGTGCCACAATGCTGCCCTGACTCGATATTTTAAAATGATTTGTATTCAGATTTGCTTATTCATCCTTGTACTTGATCCATTGTGTTGTTGATTTCTATTGCTTTTTAAAATTCTGTCATTGTATTCTTCAGCTCCAAACCATCTGTTTAGATATTTTTTAAACTTTTACTTTGCTATTGTAAAATATCATTGATGTATTTATCTGTATTTCTTAGAACAGTTATTTGAATGATTGATCAGACAATTATAAATACAATTTTGGGAAAATCTCCATTTTAAGGGGTTGATTACTGAATTATTACTGGTTTCTTTTTGGTGCTCTTATGTTTCTTTGTGTACTTTTTAGAATCCCATGGAGTTGAATCAACTGCCTGCATAAGACATTCCACTTGGCTGTTCATGGGGGTACCCCCGGAGATCCACCCTAGGCATAGACATGAAATGCACAGAACATTTAGAGTACTTGTGGAGTCTACATGATGCTGTTCAGGCATTTCAAGTAGCGTCATGGGCAGGATTCCCACTGGAGTCTGATGAGTGGTTAGTGAGTTCTGTCACCTCTATTTCTAGTTCCCAGCCTCCACCAACTATTCAGCTATGATGATCACTTCAGTGTTCAGGATGGGTTGAAAAAGAAGTGGGCCTGTTAGGTAATATTCCACATTATTGGATGAGGTGAGCTCTTACTCCACTGTCACTTTTCCTTGTGAGACCTTGAGATGCTCAGGCAGGCCTCTTGTGTCATTAAATTTTATTCCCCAGGGAGAGGTGATGTGGATAAAGTGAAGTTGTTCTTTCTCTCCTTAATGCATCCATTTCAAGACTTTATGATACAATAATGTGCTAGAACTTTTTCACTGAATTCTTGCATGGCCATAAAGGTATTCTTACTCATGGACAGCTGTCTAGATCCGTGCTTATGTAGAAGATAATAGTAGAAATCCCCTATTTCACTTCATTGCTGTCATCACTCACAGCTTGCTCTTGTTAACTGAGTAGGGGGTAGAAAGATGAGGAACTGGAGAAAGGTGGCTTACAGTGTGAAGGTAAACATTTGAATATCTCTCAGAATATTCTGTACACTATTTTCATATCTTGTCTTTTTACCTTAATATATAGCCTCTCATGTTATAGCAAGAAGAAACATTGATTTTAAAAAAATACCATAATCTTTAAATATACTTACCCTGATCACCATAAGAAATATCTAAAGGATTTAAGAAAAAAGGATTATTAATTTTTTATAAACAGACTCTGTATTAATTTCTTAGCAGTAAAGTATCTAATTTATTTACCACTTTCTGTTGAATATGAATGTCGGAATCCTAAAAGAGAAGGTGAAATATAATGAGATTCTTTGTTGGAAAATATGTACATATTATTTTCTTATTAGATGAAAATCTATTTACCTCTTCCTCTTTTAGATCTTCTAGAGGAATAATCTTTTGGGAAAGAAAAAAGCCAGATCGGCCTTATTATAGCTTATAAAAATAAGTTTATCATTAGACTAAATTCAACTAAGAAAATATTTACTGCTTTCCTAGATCCTCTCATTTTTGGGAGGGAGGACTCCATTTCAGAGAAGAAACAGAATTCCATGTTTCTTTGCTCTTCGCTTTTGTTGCTTATGATGTGAACAGCCAGGAAAGTCACCAAGTTACCTCCTCTTTTCATCACTCAACTCTTTGGGATCTATATGTTCATGAGGGGTGTTTGTGTGTGTGTGTGCGTGTGTGTATGTGTGTGTGTAATTGTATACACATTCACAACTTCATTGTTCTAGTTTGTTTGGTGGGAATAGTAAGGTCAAAGTCAAGTTATTGGCTTCTTGAAGGAATGAGTGAGTTTTAATAAGTTTTGGAGGTAGAACTGGTGGGGAGGAGAGAGAGCAGGGTACATCTACAGACAATTCTGGTGAGTGCATACTGTGAGAGAATTCTAAGTATTGGAGTGTAAGGACCAAGGTTAGCTATAGTACATTTAAATTGGTGGTACTGCCTACTTTTTGCAGATACATACATACCAAAATATAACATTTTTGAAGAAGTTCTATTTCAAATATATTTTATCATTATTCTTCATTAACGTAAAACCACATGTTCTGATTCAAATGGCAATTTATTTCTCTATTAATAATGGAAAATGTTGAAAATTCTACAGCATAAAATGAGTCCTGTTTTTGTCATAAATAAAGTGGGGGTAGTATGGTATAAGACTTTTTTTTTAACTTTTATTTAATGAATATAAATTTCCAAAGTACGACTTATGGATTACAATGGCTTCCCCCCCATACTGTCCCTTCCACCCACAACCCTCCCCTTTCCCACTCCCTCTCCCCTTCCATTCACATCAAGATTCATTTTCAATTATCTTAATATACAGAAGATCAGCTTAGTATACATTAAGTAAAGATTTCAACAGTTTGCTCCCACACAGAAACATAAAGTGAAAAATAATAGATGATTTTTTTAAATGATGATGAAATCAGATCAGACCTATTGTCATGTTTAATCCCAGTGAGAGTCAAGTTGGGAATTGATAATTTTTATTTTTTTTTACAGATGATCAGTTTAGTATACATTAAGTAAAGATTTCAACAGTTTGCACCCCCATAGAAACACAAAGTGAAATATACTGTTTGAGTACTCGTTATAGCATTAAGCCTCAATGTACAGCACATTAAGGACAGAGATCCTACATGAGGAGTAAGTGCACAGTGACTCCTGTTGTTGACTTTACAAATTGACACTCCTGTTTATGGCATCAGTAATCTCCCTATGCACCAGTCATGAGTTTCCAAGGCTATGGAAGCCCATTGAGTTCTCCGACTCTTCTCTTGTTTAGACAAGGTCATAGTCAAAGTGGAGGTTCTCTCCTCCCTTCAGAGACAGGTACCTCCTTCTTTGAAGACCTGTTCTTTTATGGTATAAGACTTTAGGTACTGATTAAGAGCCACAAGACCTAGGCTTAATATCTAATTCCTTCCTTAGTTAAATAAATCCAGATAAGCTTCAACCATTTTAAGCATCAATTTCACCTTCTCAAATGGAAATAATAAGTTTTTTTTCTGTAATACTGGATAGTCTTCTAAGTGTGTTTTCAAATATACCATTCCATTTAATCTTTATGCCAACCTGTGAACTATTTTTATCCTCATTTAAACATCTAGAAAAAATGTTTCAGAGAGGTCCCTTAACCTTTTTGAGATTTTGGGAGTAAGTAAGAGCTGGAAATGAATTATTTAATGACCCTAGAAAGGAGGAATATTTTCCTTTTCTAGAAAAAATGCACAATTATTTTGTGTTTATATCTATGGGTATATATCTGTGTTTAATATATAGGGACCTCAAAAAGTTCATGACACATGTGGATTACCTTTTAAATATATTTTAATAAACAATTGCAGCACTGATATATATGCCTAGAAAGGTTGGAAGATAATTATATATTGTAATAGCAAAAGACATGCTAACAACAAGTTATGCTTGAAGAGAAATGAGCTCATTTCTTCTCTAATGAATGCATTCTTCCTTTAATTCTGTAATAGTTATTAATCTGTTTACCTTTATCATCCTCAGAATCCAGAAGTCCAGTACCTAAAGAAGAAAGGAGAGAGAACTCCAGGTTTTTGTTTCTTGATTATTAGTGAGGTTTTATTTCAGGCTGTGAATTAGTGTAAACATGAACTCCCAATGAGGAATAATGATGTGAATTAATTTACTTTGCAGGAACTAGAGATTATGGTTAAGTCATAGGAGCAGATAATGATAAGCTGCTGTCACAAATTTTATTATATTAGACAGGCTAATATAATAATGAATAATAAAATAAAATAATGAGATTATAAAATAATAATTTTATAATATAAAATGAGAATCAGAAGGAGCTTCAAAGTTGCTCTTACCTCTTAGAATTTGAGCACCTAGCTCCTGGTTTTCCTCACTTACCAATAATGGACTACCTTTCTTAGCAACCTGAGTGTCTTTCCAACCCTTACCATGAAATTCTGCTTTACTTATTTATATCTTGAACTTGGTACTCTTCATCTCAATGATAATTAACTTAACTTTGCTCACATTAGACCTGAATAGTTTAAATTCTATTGAGCTACCCTACAGAAGCCCTCTTCACTATGAGACTTAAATTTGCTGCTGGATCCTCTGCAGTTCCTGAGGCTTCCATTTCCATGGTTTGGTATCTCCCTTTCTGCTTTCAGACCACAGGGAGCATCTCAGTCCAGCTTCAGAATAATGTAGGCTGTCCCACTACTAAGCAGTCCTTCTCACTACTAATTCATTTGGACCAACTCCACTTTGACATTTAGCACTGCTCATAAGTCTTTGACTTCTCCTAATCTTTGATTTCTCCCAGTAACTTAGAGTTCAGTTCATAGAATGGTAACTATACAAGTGAAGGAAATAAACAAGACAGATTTCATTCTTGCATTATGAACTGTCCATGAATGCCTCTCTCTCTCTAAGTATATTCTTAAGGGTATAAATACTTACTTTGTTCTGAACTGTATCTGGACATATAAGTTTCTGTGGAAAAATTAGGCAAAAATATCTTTATTAGCTTCTTTTGAGAGGTGTTCTTCCCCTGATCCAACTCTCTTCACTTTAAGCTTTGCTTCCCTTAACAAAGGTGATGTTCCTGATATAATTGTTGAACCACTTTTCATGAGGTTCAACTAGCCTTATTATATTTTTTCATACTGCTTATTCTTGTTCCTGATATAATGTATTGTTGAACCACTTTTTATGAGTTTCAACCAGGCTTATTCTGTCTATTTTTTCATACTACTTATTCTCACAGGCATTAAAGATAGGAAATAAGTGGGAAATATAGCTGATTAGAAGGGGGTGGGAAAGACAATAAGAAAAATCCTAGACATACCTTATGATGTAGAAAAGGTCTTTGCTTTCATGTGTCACATCTCTATTTCACTGACAAGTACTACTGTGTATTTGTCTCATCTTACCTATGTGAAATCACTAAGTCTCTGATTCTTTCTATAAAATACTAGATATTAGTGTCTACTAGAATACCATTTTCTCACCTTCATTTTTTAAACTTAGGTAAATTTCTGTTGAAGAACAGATAGTTTTAAAATGTTTTTCTTATATTTGCTGAACTCTGTGATTTTTTAAAATTTGTTGAGATGGATCATTTAAGCTTTGAGTTTAAAAATGCAAGGGATATCACTAATAGGTCATATTCTTTGACTCATGTATTGAAGCATTCTTAGAATATTGGTAGTCTCTCTCTATCTGAAAATTAGAAATAAACTCAGACTGATTCTTGGCATCCCTCCCTCTGTGACTTTCATAGGAAATCTTCATTTTGATACATTATTACTTACCATTTTGCTTTCGTCGTGTCCATCTTGCTAACAAAATAGCCAGAATGGCAAGTCCCAGTAGAGTCAGGATGACAGCCAAAGTTATTTCTGAAACAAAAACTCACCTGTAGGACTGCTTATATGGAGCAGGTCATTACCAAAAGCAATTTCTGTTCAATTCTTAACTGTCCACCAGATTGTCTCCTTTCTTTCTCTTTGCTGCTACTTCAACTCCTTAATTCCTCTATCTTCTGCATCTTACGGTCTTCACATTCCCAACCCAGCTCATTTCTTATCTGTTATGTTTGTTCTTTCGGTTAAATATTAAGAACCTCAGATACTGTATTTCTTTTGTTTAGAGTGGACAATCTGACAATTTTTTTCATGAATTGAATCCCTTACTTCCTAGGCATTAGAAGGTTAAAGGGAATCAGTGATTTACAAAGAATCCATGAGCCTATGAGATAGGATAAGTCATGCTGGAAATGCCCAACCACTGTTTATGTGTTTCAGTTGATATAAGACAGATATGTAGTCATAGAAAAGAAAAATCTTAATAATGTGCCATGTTTTTTAGGAACAGGCTATTATTGTTTTGGGAGAAAAGGCAAGATGAGGGGACAGAACAAGAGAGAGGAAAAAAGAAGAGGAAGGATGAAAGTAATCATAAATATACCTTAGACAGTGAAAATGTTGAAGAATATACAATTCTGAAAAACTAATAAAAAGTATTATACACAAAAATTCGATAAGTGAATCTACCTCAATGTGTAATAACATACTTCCAATCAAGACTAGGTACATGTCTACTTAATCTTCTAGGTATTTGGTAATGTCCAAAAATTCTATCAAATCACCATTTACTTCTAATAAATATACCACTCAGTGAACATATTGAGAATAGTAATTTTGACTAATGTGAAATTATCTTTACAGGAGAAAAGGAAAATTATGTAGTGAATGGAGGATAAACCTCTGGAAAGTAGTAATCCCTCTGAGTGGTGTCTGAAATGCTCTGACCCTGGGGTGGTTAGATATTGATCCACATTAAGTATGAGGAAAATATTATTTCTCAGAGTTGGAACAGATCAAAGAGTGAACGGTACTAAAAAAAGAGAAAAATAATGAGCTCATGAATTTTCCTAGAGCTATGGAGGAAGGTTATTTTTTTTGATCAATTAATACTCCAGAACCATGGGGGAAAATAGTGCTGTCACTCTGGAGCTGAGTTGACTATGATTGATTTCTCCCAGGCTCACATAGGAATAAATGACAGTGAAAGAAAGGACCTTGAGTTTGACTAGACAGCAAACAAGGAAGGTAAAATATTTATGTTAAAATCCCAAGAGAAGATTCCTGGGCAATATGGTTAAGGAAGAACCAGGAAAGGAAATGATCCATACCGAAAATTGACATTTTCCAAGTATTGTCTTCAGTGAGTTCCGTGTCATCTGGATTTCTCAGTCAGAGGCAGATCAAGACCGAAAGAATTGTTTCATAGCAGTATGAACTGGAGTGTCAGGCAGGCTCCTGCAGGCAAATATATGGAGGGTTACTAAAGAATTTTATAGCTCAAGTAATCAGATCTAAGCAAACTATGGTACTGTAGTCATGAAAGTTCTAGAATGTGTCATAACAAAGATTTAGAACTTTAGAGAGGCAGAAGAAATGGAAAAGAAAGACCAAGGTTTAAGAACATGCTGGAGGACCTTGAACTTTCATAGGATACTAGACGGGAATTTTCTTTATCTCCTCCTTAAAGTAATTTCTGCTTTTCTACATAATTTGATGACAGAGACTATACCTCACTTATCTTATTAACTACTGAGGCAGAGGATTTTCACAGGCACTAAGAAATGTTTGATGTTTAAGAAATGAGAATAATTTCTATATTTTAAAAAATTACTGTGAAACAAAAGAAAATTGTCAACAAATTATGTATAAAAGGAAGGTATCGCCACATAATGCAGGCCATATACCACAAAACTACAGATAGCAGCATAAGAAACTACTATAATGACTATGTGCTAACAAATGGGAAAACCTTGAAGAAATGGAAAAATCCCTAACAACTTTTTTAACTTTTATTTAATAAATATAAATTTCCAAAAAAACAACTTTTGGATTATAGTGGCTTTCCCCTCCATAACTTCCCTCCCACCTGCAACCATCCATCTACTACTCCCTCTCCCATTCCATTCACATCAAGATTCATTTTCAATTATCTTTATATACAGAAGATCAATTTAGTATATACTAAGTAAAGATTTCAACCGTTTGCACCCACACAGAAACACAAAGTATAAAGTACTGTTTGAGTACTAGTTATAGCATTAATTTACATAGTACAACACATTAAGGACAGAGATCCTACATGGGGAGTAAGTGCACAGTGACTCATGTTGTTGATTTAACAATTGACACTCTTGTTTATGGCGTCAGTAATCACCTGAGGCTCTTGTCATGAGTTGCCAAGGCTATGGAAGCCTCTTGAGTTCACCAACTCCGAACTTATTCAGACAGCTCATACTCAAAGTGGAAGTTCTCTTCTCCCTTCAGAGAAAGGTATCTCCTTCTTTGATGGCCCTTTTTTTCCGCTGGGATCTCACTCACAGAGATCTTTCATTTAGGTCATTTTTTTTTTTCCAGGGTGTCTTGGCTTTCCATACCTGAAATACTATCATTAGCTTTTTATCCAGATCCAAATGCCTTAAGGGCTGATTCTAAGGCCAGAGTGCTGTTTAGGACATCTGCCATTCTATGAGTATGCTGTGTATCCTGCTTCCCATGTTGTATCGTTCTCTCCTTTTTAATTCTATCAGATAGTATTAGCAGACACTAGTCTTGTTTATGTGATCCCTTTGACACTTATTTCTATCCTTGTGATCAATTATGAACTGAAACTGATCACTTTGACTAGTGAGATGGCATTGGTACTGTTGTGCCCAGATAAGTAGATCCCCAAGAAGGTATCAGTGACCCGATCACACTGAACTGCAAAAGCAAGGTTTATTTTTAAAGTACAAGCCGCAACAGGGACCCCATCCAACCAACTGGTACAACAGAGGAAGCTGTGAGGCCCTGGTCTTTGGGAGAGTTTTTAAAGGAAAGAAGAGTTACATCAGCAGGAAAAAAGAGTTACATCAGTGGGTGCTTACAGCATGGAAGCTTTGGGTACAGGGAGTTACAGCAGGGGCTTACAGCATGGGAGTTTTGGGGACAGGGAGTACTTTGTTTAGCAATCTCTACTGTGCTGTGCTTGGTCTACTGAGCTAGCTGTCCCTGGTAAGCTTTAATATCTCTGGAATGCCTGAATGCCTGCTTTTACAGGGACTCGGGTCTGCTATGGGAAACGGAGGCTGCTTTTTTTATTGTTTTAGAATGGAGTCACTTTGGCTCTTCATTCCCCCCTTGTTTTTGTACATGTTTGAAAAACTCAATCATGGGTTTTGGACTGACAGTTCACAGGTTTCACAAACATTTATTGGTCTACTGGGACCGATGAACCATTAATTGAATGGTGCCCAGTCTCTGTTTCCTAAATTGTACAAGTTTGTTAATAATGTAAGGGCCATAGGTTAAAATTAAAATCAGAAGGCTAGTGGGCCCTATGACTCCTGATAGGAGGGTGGTGAGCCATGGAGAGGAATTAAACCAAGACGCAAACCATCCCTGGGAGGCCTCCCGGTCTCTTTGGTGCTTGTCCAGACCTTTCCTGACTTTAGCCAGCCATGTTATCTTTTATTAGGCCCTAGTGATTGGCATAAGAGCAGCATTCTTTTCTAGAGTGCACACAGCCCACCACATCAGTTTCAAAAGTCTAGGAGGGGCAGAGGGATGACGATCCATCTTCAGAGCCACCCCTGCTGACGTGGGGCAACAAGGCACTCTTCGCTGTCATGGGGTGATGTCTTAAGCACCTGTCTCCTGGGTGGGGAGCCGAGCACATTCCTGTAGTAGCATTCGGTTGACCGCCTAGTTGCCGAAGGCCTTGGTTTGCCCCGTCACCAGCTGTAAGCACTTGAACAGACATTGTAGTATAGAGACAGAGTGAGAATAAAAACAAATTCCAGCCAAGACCAGGAGAAAAGTCAAATACCAATGACACTATTTACAGAATTAGAAAAAGCAATCCTAAAATTTATATGGAATCACAAAAGACCCAGAACAGGCAAATTGATACTGAACAAGAAAAATCAAGCTGGAGACATCACAATACCTAACTTCAAAGTATACTACAAAGCTATGGTAAGTAAAACAGCATATATTGGCATAAAAACCAATACATAGATAAATGAACAGAATAGAGAGTCCAGAAATTAATCTACATACATACAGGTAACTGATTTCTTATGAAAGTGCTCAGATTATATAGTGGATTAAAGATCATCTCTTGAACAAATTGTGCTGTATGCTGTGTGTGTATATATATGACTATGTAAATATATGTATATATGAAATTATACCCATATCTCACACCATACACAAAAACCAAATCAGGATTAATCAAAGACATAAATTTAAGGCCTGAGATTATGATGTTGCTGGGGGAAAACATGTGGCAAACACTCCAAGACATTGGTGTAGGGGATGACTTCTTGGATAAGACCCCCAAAGCACAGGCACCACAAGCAAAACTAAAGAAATGAGTTATATCAAACTCAGAAACTTTTGTGCAATAAAGAAAACAATCAACAGAGTGAAGAGACTTCCAACATAATGGGGAAAAATTTCAAACCACCTATCTGACAAAGGATTGATATTCTGAATATATCAGAAACTTAAAAAGCTCAACATCAACAAAATAACCAGTGCAGTTGAGAAATGGGAAAGAGTTCAACAGACAATTCTCAAAAGTAGAAATACAAATGTCCATCAAACATGTGAAAAATGCTCAATATCACTAGCTAGCAGGGAAATGCAATTCAAAACCACAATGAGATATTACCACACCCCTCTCAGAATGGAAAAAATCCAAAACACAAAATAACAAATATTGACAAAGTATATAAGGGAATCCTTATATACTCTTTATGGGAATGTAAATTAGGGCAGCTACTGTGGAAAACAATGTGGAGATTTTTTTTTAAAAAAACTAGAAATAAACTTGCCAGATGATCCAGCAATCCCACAACCAAGTATATATCCAAAAGACTTGAACAGGGGGCTGGCGTTGTGGTGTAGTGGGTTAAGCTGCTGCCTGCAGTACCAGCATCCCATGTGGGTGCCAGTTTGAGCCCTGGATGCTTCACACTTAATCCAGCTCCCTGCTAATGTGCCTGGGAAAGCAGCAGAGATTGGAGTAAGTGCTTGGGCCCCTGAACCTAAGTGGGAGACCCTGAGGGGGCTCCTGACTCCTGGCTTCAGTCTGTCCCAGTTCCAGCTATTGTGACAATTTGGGGGAGTGAACCAGAAGATGGAAGATCTCTCTTTCTCTGTCTCAGCCTTTCTCTCTGTAACTCTAACTTGAAAATAAATAAATCTTTTTTTTAAGAAGACTTGAGCACAAGGTATCAAAGAGATACTTGCCCCACCATGTTTATAGTAGCATAGTTCACAATAAACAAAATTTGGAATCAACCAAGATGTCCAACATCAGATTAATGGATGAAGAAGAGTGGTGTATAAACACATGGAATATTATTTAGGTGTAAACAAAAATTAAATTCTACCATTTGCAGTAAAATGAACACAATTTGAGGATATCACATTGAGTGAAAAAGCCAGACCCAGAAAGAAAAATACTAGATGTTCTTCTTTATATGTGGAAGCTAAAATTTAAAACCAAAAAGAAAGAAAAGAGAAAGAAATGTTTATCAGTATTGCTGCAAATTAGTTTGGTAAATCTTTGATTTTTACTTTTGTCAAACCAATGGCTAAGAATGTTATACTACTATAGTTTTAATGATCTTTGATTACTTTAAAATTTATTGTATATGGGTGAAATGATCATTTTTCCATTTGATAATTATTTATAGCCATTGTCTATATTTCCATCAGAGTTTTTTGCTTTTTACTTTTTTTTTATCTTTTATTAAATGAATATAAATTTCCAAAGTACGACTCATGGGTTACAATGGCTTTCCCCCCCATACCGTCCCTCCCACCCACAACCCTACCACTTCCCACTCCCTCTCCCCTTCCATTCACATCAAGATTCATTTTCAATTATCTTAATATACAGAAGATCATCTTAGTATACCTTAAGTAAGGATTTCAACAGTTTGTTCCCATACAGAAACATAAAGTGAAAAATAATAGATGATTTTTTTTAAATGATGATGAAATCAGATCAGACCTATTGTCATGTTTAATCCCAGTGAGAGTCAAGTTGGGAATTGATAATTTCTTTTTTTCTTTTTTTTTTTTTTTACAGAAGATCAGTTTAGTGCACATTAAGTAAAGATTTCAATCGTTTGCACCCCCATAGAAACACAAAGTGAAATATACTGTTTGAGTACTCGTTATAGCATTAAGCCTCAGTGTACAGCACATTAAGGACAGAGATCCTACATGAGGAGTAAGTGCACAGTGACTCCTGTTGTTGACTTTACAAATTGACACTCCTGTCTATGGCATCAGTAATCTCCCTATGCACCAGTCATGAGTTTCCAAGGCTATGGAAGCCCCTTGAGTTCTCCGACTCTTATCTTGTTTAGACAAGGTCATAGTCAAAGTGGAGGTTCTCTCCTCCCTTCAGAGAAAGGCACCTCCCTCTTTGAAAACCTGTTCTTTCCACTGGGATCTCACTCACAGAGATCTTTTTGCCAGAGTGTCTTGGCTTTACATGCCTGAAATACTCTCATGGGTTTTTAAGCCAGATCCGAGTGCCTTTCGGGCTGATTCTGAGGCCAGAGTGCTATTT